ATTCCAGCTTGGATCTGGAAGTTCCAACCCCCATTGAGACTCTGGCAACTGTCACGCCTACGAGGCGGGGCGAGGGGAGGTGCCTGGAGACCCGAGAGCAGGATGGGCCAGCGCTCTCTCTGTGCGCTCTCTCTGTGCCAGGATGCTGAATGGTGAAGGTGGACTGTGCAGAGCTCCGGAGAACACCGCTGGACTGCGATACACCTTCCCCAGACCCTGCGACCTACCTTTCACTTAATTTGTGAGTTACACCATTAAATAAATATCCTTTTAAAGATGTGGAGTGGCCAAAATAATTACTCCAATACCTGTCCAAACCTTTTCATACTGGAATTTAATTAATGATGTCTTAAAAACTTATAATCATTCCTCTGATGTTCAAAAATTAATTAAGGAGGGAGAAAAAGCCTTAAAAGAGTCCTCCCGTCCACCCACTGTCTGTCATTCTGTCAGTATTAATATTCCTGAACTACCCATGTGTAAAATTGTTCCAGCTGCCCTGTCACCCCCCCCCTCCTCCTCCGCTTTTCCTCACAGGATGTATACCCTTCCCTCAAAAATGTTGATGATGATTTAACCCCAGAGGAGAAAGCCTCCTTAGAGGAAGAAGGTGCCAAGTATAATAATCCTGATTGGCCCCCCTCCTCAAACATGCCCACCACCAAACCTTCTCTTTTAAACCCCCTCCCTACCAGTTTCCATCACAGGGTGTGATGGCCTCTGCTTCACCCTTTTGTGTACCCATTATTGAGGATGAGGAAACCTCTGCCCTGTTACAAAGAGCCAAGAGCCTTCTCCTCACTGAGGTTTTCTCCCTCAGGGATGTCCTCCAAAAGCTCAAACATCTTCAACTCATAAAAGAACTCCGTGCTGTTGATAAAGAATTAACCACATTAGCCTTAAAATCCCAAAGAGACCTTAAAAATAGCCCAGGGGAATACTAAAATCAGCCCAAAAAAGGTGCCCACAAAAACAAATCTAAAAAGGGTTCCTCCTGCTAAAGCTTCTCACTCTCTTTATGCCTTCCTAGTAACTCGTAGCCAGACTGCTAAAGAGCCTGACTCAGCTGCGGGAGTTACAAGCGCATCACCCCCTGATACTGAGGGTGAAGCATTCAAACACTCAGATAATGAATGTAACAGATCTGAGGGCTCCGACTCTGAGGATGAGGCCCTCGATACTTCCCAAATATACAAACACCTCAGTCTTAAATATCTTTAAAAACTTAAGGCAGCAGTTGCCAATTATGGCCCTACAGCTCCCTTTACTTTGGCCCTTTTAGAAAATGTGAGTGACCATTGGCTTATACCTAATGATTGGTATTTCCTGGCTAGAGCTACACTTTCAGGTGGAGATTATGTTTTATGGAAAACTGATTTTACTGAAAATTGTAGGGAGATGGCTCAACGCAATACAAAAAAAAAAAAAAATCCTCCAAAAGATGGACTCTTAAAAAGCTCCTGGGTAACAGCCCCTATGAGAAAAATAAAACTCAAGCCCGCTTTGCTCCAGGCTTATTAATACAAATTCAAAATACAGGTCTAAAAGCCTGGAAACATTTGCCCCCTAAAGGGTCAGCTACCACCTCCCTGACAAAGATTCGGCAGGGGCCTGATGAGCCTTATAGTGACTTTGTCAGCCACCTAAATGACACTGCTGAGCGGCTTCTCGGCGATGGAGAAAATGAAAACGCTTTTGTAAACATCTAGCATTTAAAAAACGCCAATCCTGCCTGTCAGGCTGCCATTCGTCCCCATGGCGCTAAGTCTGAACTTTCTGATTATGTCAGGCTATGCTCAGGAATTGGCTCCGCCCATGCCATGGGGCTCGCCATCCGAGCTGAGCTGCCCTCCGTGCAGCCAACAAAGACCCTAAAACCTGCTTTAACTACAAACAACCTGGGCATTTCTCTGGAGAATGTACTGTGCCTCCTGCAGCTCCCGATGAGCGCCCTCCCCCTACTTCTCTCTGCGGCAGGGGCAAACATTGGGCTTCAGAATGCAGATCCAAAACAAATGCACAGGGTCAACCATTACTTCCTAAACAGCAGGGAAACTTCCAGAGGTGCCAGCCCCTGGCCCCCACCCAGAGGACAACCTCAGGGGCTATCAGGTTTGTCCCCCCTGCCCAGACTCAGCCACTCCCTAACCCCACCAATCCATTTCAGATCTCTGGAGAGCAACCGCAGGGAGTGCAGGACTGGACCTCTGTTCTACCACCCAGTCAATATTGAACCCTGGAATGTGCCCTCAGCTCCTAAATACCGGAGTCCATGGCCCCTTACCTCACGATACCTTTGGCCTAATCATTGGAAGAGCTAACACCACCCTTCAAGGGATTCAAATTTTCCCAGGGGTTATTGATAATGATTTTACTGGAGAACTTAAGATTCTTGCCTCTACAAGTACAAGCATGATTACTATCCACCCAGGAACCTGCACTGCCCAACTCCTATTGCTTCCTCTCCGACATTCAAACCTTAAGTATAAAAAATTTGCCCGGTGCGAGGAAG